TTAAATTACTAATGGCTGGGGGTTTTTGTGGGCACTTAATTCTTCGTCTGCGCCGATTATCCTTCCTCGAGGAATGAAGCTCCCACTGTTCCATGGTGTCACGGAAAATTCTATTGTTGCCATCAACGACAAGGAAAGTGAAAAACTTGTGGGCACCTCTAAACGGAGTGCTTTCCACGAGTCCCACATTTTGAGCATGGTTAGTTAGCAAGACGCTACGGTCACATGAACAACAAGAATTGGTCCAACTATCACAACGACATGGGTCAGTGTTTGACTTCGGCTGAAAGGGTAAGCGACTATCTTTACCATGCTCTCGAGCGCAGCATACCATAGACACAGGCTTTACCCATCCGGTTCGGCAAAAACCTCATAGGGTGTCATCATCCGAGCGGAAAGTTATAGCTGAACAATTTAGGACATGTTGAAGAAGAGCGTTATTGAAGAGTCGTGCAGACCGTGGGCAGCACCTGTGATTTTGGTTCGCATGAAAGACGGTTCCTGGAGGTTTTGCGGTGTATATAGATGATAGAATGCCTTGACTAAAAAGGATGTATATCCACTGCCTCGAATCGACGATGTAATTGACTGTCTAAATTCTGCTTTATACTTTTCTTTACTCGATCTATGATCAGGATATTGGCAGATCTCCATGCGCCCTGCTGACAAGGAGAAAACGGCATTTGTAACACCCGATTAACTATATCAGTTCAATGTGATGCCATTTGGGCTATGCAATGCGCCCGCAACTTTCGAAAGATTTATGGACTCTATTCTTCACGAACTGAAATGGGAGATCTGTTTGTGCTATCTGGATGACGTTGTCATTTTTGGGCGCACATTCGAAGAACATAACGTTCATTTAAGCCTCGTTCTGGACTGTGTGGAAAAGGCTGACTTGGTCTTGAACTCTAAGAAGTGTCGGCTTGGTGAACGGCAGGCCTAGATCCTTGACCATTTGGTAGACAAAGATGGGGTCAGGCCTGACCCCCGGAAAATTGAAGCAGTTGGCGCCTTTAAGCCGCCCACGTCTGTAAAAGAACTTCGCAGCTTTCTTGGGTTACGTTCTTATTTTCGACGCTTTGTGCCTAAATTTGCGGACATCCTATACCTATTGACCAGCCTCTTGCGAAGACAGTGCATTCGAGTGGACATCTGAATGTGACGCTGCGTTCTGTCAACTCAAACTACTGCTGACATCAGAGCCGATTCTCAGTGATTTTGACCCATCTGCTCCTACGGAAGTACACAGCGACGCAAGCAGTATTGGCATTAGAGGCGTTCTTGTTCAGCGTCATAATGGCAGAGAGCATGTCGTTGCCTATACAAGTCGTTCCCTTAGCAAGGCTGAAAAAAATTACACTGTGACCGAACAAGAATGCTTGGCAGCCGTATTTGCTATTCAGAAGTTTCGTTATTACCTGTATGGGCGTCCTTTCACGATTGTAACAGACCATCATTCCCTATACTCTCAGACCCTTCTGGACGCCTTGAACGCTGGGCTCTATGCCTCCAGGAATTTGACTTTAATGTTGCATATAAAAATGGACGGCCTCATACCGATGCAGATTGTCTTTCTCACCTTTCATTGTCTACAACTGACGACAATACAGACACGTTCGACATCTGCTTTGCTACTGTTTCACGAGTGTTTTCTGATGTCGCCACGTTCCAGCGGGAACAGCGCAAAGACTTAATTTTAGACTATTCGCCACTGTCAAAAGCCCCAAGGGCAGTGGTCGCTTTTGTCTTCGCGATGGACTGCTGTACAAGGTCAATTTTTCTGCAAATGGTGCACGGTATGTGGTACGACGTCCTCCATTTCATGCATGATAACCCGACATCAGGCCATTTTGGATTCATCCGCACTTTGCATCGAACTCGAGAGCGCTTCTACTGGCCTAAAATGCGACAATGTACGAAGCAATACGCCTCCAGTTGTGACAAATGCCAATGCCATAAACGTCCTACAAGTAGTCCGCATGGCCTCCATCACCCTATAACGCCGCCCACAACACTTTTCGAACAAGTTGGTATCGACCTGCTAGGACCGTTTCTGCGGTCTTGCAACAACAACCGCTGGATCATAGTCTGTGTCGATCACCTTACCAGATATACGGAAACCGCTGCGATATCATCTTCCACAACGGATTCCGTCGACTCTTGCCTGTTACGATCCATCGTTCTTCGCTATGGTCCACCTCGTGTCATCATCAGTGATCACGGTTGCCAGTTCGTCGCCGACACTGTAGAGGAATTGCTTCGTCTCTTTACTTCACAGTTTTGCCATTCAATGCCATATCATCTCCAGATGAATGGCCTTCTGGAACCCATAAACCACACGCTTACTAATATGCTGGCTATGTATATATGCTCGAATCACGAGAACTGGGATGAGATTTTGCCATTCATCACCTATGCTTGTAATACAGCGAAGCATGAAACCACAGACTTCGCTCCGTTCTACCTACTCTATGCTTGATAATCCCGCAGCTGCCTCTATACAATACTTCCATTTGAGCTCCATACAGATGATTCAGTAGCTAGAACACTGTTCCGAGCTGAAGAAGCCCGCCAAATTGCCCATATTTGCACACTGGCATCGCAAGATCGCTCCAAGCAGAGGTATGATCAACGCCACGACACCGTTTCATTCGAAAAAGGGGACCTCGTGTGATTATGAACTCCTCAGCGGAAACATGGCTAATGCCAGAAATTTCTAGTGCACTATGTCGGTCCATTCGTAGGTCAAGTCACTCAGGCTATTTAGCCTGAGTGACTTGACCTACGTGGTCAAGCCAAACACAGTTCACGGTCAAGCCAAACACAGTTGGCGCATGTAGCTCGTCTCAAGCAGTTCCATCCCACACTACGCCAATGATTCGCCTCGCCCAGCAGGCTTCGTCTGATCTGTGAACAGGGGAATGATACGGTATGAGCCAGACCATGATTTGGGACAAAAGTAGAGGAAGAGGAAGTTAGTTGGTTCGGCCTATGTTTGCCATTATCGCCGATTGTCTAATCTCGGCTGTAAATAAACACAGTTAAACTCAATGTAACCGTAACAATACCAATATTTTCATGAAATTTACAGCACTCATATCAATGAGACGTAGCAGAGGAAATGCAACATGCTACGTTATGTATGATACGACCCCTCTGTTTGAGTGCAGCGAATTTCGTCAAGAAAGAGTTACCAACCAGCCCGACTACCAGCATTCCTCCAACTCGAGCTTTAGCTTATGATTTCATTTTATTACGATAGCAATTATGACTGGATTTTGTCGCCGGCATTGGCATTGCAGTCATTCACTGAATATCTACACACATATATATATATATATATATATATATATATTATATATATATATATATATATATATATATATATATATATATATATATATATATATATATATATATATATATATATAATATATAATGCAAGAAAATAATTCATAAAAAAGACTCCGGCACGGGGAATGGAACGTCCAACCTTTTGCTTGTGAGTGCGAGGCGTTATCCACTGAGCCACGAAGGAGCACTTTTCTAATGTTGAAATGGCAAGGTATTGATATCTACCACTTACTGCTGGCAAAGGCCATCTCCAGGGAACTATCATGTTTTCAGCATTACCAGCGAGATGGCGCAATGAGCGGGTGTCGCCAGATTATCAAGACGCGGCGGCACACATACTCATCTCCCACGCGTACTTTGCCCTGCGAAGAGGGGGGGGGAGAGTGGACGCTCACGCATGGATGCGGTTATCTCATGGTAGGGAGAATCGTACGCCTTGGACTTTCACCGGAACGATTCTGTTGTTACTGGGCGCACAAAGGTCACTGCACTTGCTGCACAGTCTCAGTTTGCAAAAAGGGTGTGCTTTTCAGACTCAGCGAAGTAACAACAAACACTTATTCGCGTTCCTCTGCACCTGTGAGTACGTTTCGTGCATCATTTGTGCGTGAGCAACGCGGGCACATTTTGATCTGCTTTGCATGACCTTCCAATTTGTTGCTACTGCGTTCATTGCTTCGCGTTTGCGGCAAAGCTGCGACTTTTTTCTACAATCATGACAAAATTTTCATCACATTCGGCAAATTTCTGCACAATTGAGTCCCTATTTGGTCCCTACTGGAATGCAAGTTCACAGGCAGCAATCACATATATGGATGCTGGCACTGATTCTCCAATCAGAAACCATGGCGACCACAATAACATATCAAGGCAGTAAGTGCATCTACGAATTGTTGCAGTGACTGGTACAGCAGGCTGAAACCACAGTTAGTGTAGTATTTTATTTTGCTCAATTATTATAAAAAAACAAGTAAATGCTCAAGTCTTCTCTGCTTTTATAGCTAAATTAGGTCCTCCTGTGTTTCTGAATTTAGTTTTTTTTTTAGATATCAGTGAACAAATACACGGACGTCTAAGAATAACTGCCAATGTTTTATGTGCAAAAGCCACAACTGCATCATGAGGCATCATGCCATTAGGAGGAACACTGAATGAATTTGAACTAGCAGAGGTTCTTTAACGTGCACTTAAATCTGACAACATAGATGTTCTTGATTTTTATCCCCATCAAAATGCAGCCCCTATGGCCAGGAATTGAGCCTCCTCAACTTTAACAACACAGACTCATAGGAAAGTGTAACAAAAGCAGTTCACTCCAATACAAAATAGCTAGTATAAGGCTCAACTGTATTTGTTGTAGCTTTGATGAACTGAAGTTTCAAGCCATAATTACTCGGCTCATAACTATCTAAGAAAATGTTCTTTTTTATATTACAACTAAAACACTGCACATAGGCTTTTTGCACCCTATTATCTATCATAAGCTACAGCTAGCAAATGACGTTGGAACTATGAGGCACACACATTCCTTTTTTTTTTTTTTGTCCCTCAGCTGTGGCTACAAAATTAGAAGCTACGTATGAGCGAAAGTATGTATCTATATGTAAATGTACCATGTCAATAATTGCGGCACAAAAATTAAGTAGAGGGAAAAAATTCTTCAATTTTGCTTTATTTGACAGGAATGAAAGTGTTTCCTATAACCTTTGTTAACAACCATAATAATTTAACATTTATACACACCAGGCCAACATTAGACCATGTCTAGGCCAACATTACACTGATATCTGATGTGTACCCCCGAGAAAGTTATCAGGACATAAAATGCCAGCTTGCTGAAACCTGATTGATGATTGATTGATTTGCGGGGTTTAACATCCCAAAACTACCATATGATTATGAGAGACGCCGTAGTGGAGGGCTCCGGAAATTTTGACCACCTGGGGTTCGCTTGCTGAAACCTGGACCTCGATTTCATTTTTACAGACGATTGATTGACATGTGGGGTTTAACGTCCCAAAACCACCATATGATTATGAGAAACTCCGTAGTGGAGGGCTCCAAAAATTTTGACCACCTGGGGTTCTTTAACGTGCACCCAAATCTGAGCCATTTTTAAAGACAGGAACTACCACAGCAGATAAACTTTTGACAAACTAACTTTGGCTTCAGTGTAGTAATAGAAGTCATAGATGTGTAACCAAAACCCATCAATTTTGTTATGATTTATGATGCTCTTCAAGCTACAATAACTGCATTTGATGAGAGTGGGATTTAAAAACAGCTGTGGGTGCATATTAACCCCCAGCAAAAAAATTCTAGCTCATTAAAAAAATCAACCATTTCATAAAGAAACATCAATTTATCAATGTCTGCATTTCACAGAGCAAAAAAATAGTTGTAAATATTCCGCTTTCTTTCCTAGTTGAATCATTTCAGTGTCTGCCTTGAGCATTTGAAGCCTTTGCAGCTTGTTTGTATGAAGCAGACACAAAGCTACTGAAAAGGTACTGAGGGAAATAAGATGAACACTGCAAAAAAGATTTACACCCACTATGGGTACCTTTGTGCACCCCTGTACTAGTACCAGAATCACAAGACATGTAGGCTCATGCAAAATTATATATTTTTAGTACAAAATAAGTATCAACGTCACTAAAAGCTGTGTCACTAAAATAAAATATAAAAAAATAAAATCTCAAGGAAATCTGCAGCGGCAAGTAAATAGGTCCATAACACGACTAAAAGAGCATTCAGTCATGTAACATGAGTAAATAAGCATCGCTATTAAAACTACATCAAGTAGACTATCACAAAGATACAAAGCAGCCATATCATTTGAAAGGTACATATGAATACATACATAGACTAGGATACACATTCGCAATGACTGCAACAAAGTATGTACATACTACTATATATGCATTCAACAAAATAGCACTGAGCATTACTCATTTCACAGCATTACCCAAGGCCTGAAATTAGTCCAAGTGGCTGCATTATGTAAAAAGTACAAATTAGAAAGCCATTCAATCATTCATCATCTACGACATTCTGTTGTGCTTTTCAAGTGTCCACATTTCCCTGGAACGTCTACTAGAAGTAGGAATATAAGCGAGCCACCTTGGGCACTGTGCAGAGCTGAACGTCCGCAGCCCGCTCATGACCTGACGTGGCGTCCATTACCGACATCGTCAGTACTTGGCCAAATACAAACATGCCCAGTGCCACACAAAGGACCGCTGTTGCCAGCTTCCACTTGGTCTTTGCAAAATAGTAATAGTTGTCCAGTTTCACTGAGACGAACAACAGGCACAAACCTAGTGAAAAGGTAAAAAAACATTTAAGTATACACAGCACAAAACAACCAAAATGATCAACATTCTTGGTTTGTTTTACCACGATATGAAACTACACATTTATATGTGTACATCAGCATGTTCGTAATAACGAACTAAGTTTTTTTTTTACTCGTACCATCCATGATTTTCATCTAAAAACGTATTCCATTGTGCAAACTTGCTCTGCACTTAGTGAACAAAATCACTAACCAATTATAAGCCACACATTCAGTGAAATTCATTCTTTTATCAAGGAACAGGTTTTGCTACATATGGTCAGCAGAGGTAATTTTTTTTTTTTATGGAGTTCAACGTATACTCACAAAAAATATATTTATTTGGACTATGCAGTTCTTAGACAAAGAAAAGAAAGAAAGCAAGAAAACTGGAAATCTTTTATACACATTAGGTACGAGGTGCCCTCAAGAATAATTCTGCTAATGTGCTTATCACAGAAATTGAGAGCAGAAAAGTGCAAATAGTAGGGTACTATGGGCTATTTTTATAGACTTAGGTGACCATAATTAAGTTAGTGTTCATTGCTTAGGTACAAGTGCCCTTGTTTTAGATTACATGAATTCAATATAATATGAATACTTTATGGACACTATAGGAACTTACATCATTTAGATTTTACTATACAACATTGTTAAATCGTACAGAACCTTGGGAACTTGTATAGAAGGTTTCGCCACAGCCTGCTGGTCTCTGGCAACATTGTGCGTTCGCCAGGAAACCACCTCTGGAAACTTCCGGTTTAGCTTGTTTTTGCGTGGTCTTAGCGTTTGTTGCTGGCCGCGGCTGCTTGTGTTCCGAGGTTTTATGTGGATAAAATTATTTCAATGAATCACTGGCAGCCCAAGCACAGCTGTATCAATCCCGGATGCAGTCTACATGCCTGAATTAATTTTATATGCTAGTCAAAACGTGCCGTTTCCTGACCGATGATGATAGCAAGAGTGCCTGCATTGCAGCGATCACGCGAGAAAACTGGATTCCCACCAAAAGCATGTAGGTTTGTTCTGCCCATTTTATCAAAGGCAATGTAAAGCTCAGCACAGAATAGTGGCACAGAGGCGATACTCAGACGTTGGACTAGTCGAAAGCCCCATTACCGGGAACACATCAGTCACTGTCGTCTTCCATTCGTGGCAGATAAGCGCACTGACGCGGGAAATGAGTAGCGAAACGTGGAAGCTAACAATGAAAAGCCATCGCAAAGGTGTTTATTGTATAGTTTGAGCTATATCAATGATGCGTACTGTTCTAAACAGCACGGTACACAAAGTAGCCGTGCTTAACATTGATCGTCGCACGTGTACGTCATGGTGTACACGTTTCGTTGTCGTTGCATTTCATTTTTTTTTAAAGCGACACCGGCGAGTGGGCTCTTATCTGTGCTAGCAAAGGACTAATGACCATCGCCACATTTAAGCTCATTTATTTTTTGGGTGTGAACATGAACTGCCGGCTCAGGTAGGTCCAATTTGAAAATTTGGTTCATGAATAGCTTACTCGTGAGTAAAACATAATAGTTTGCGTAACCCTGCAGCCACAGTTTACGTCATCACATCAGTAAATTTTATAATTTCTCAGTCACAAGAACACTTCGGATTGTGAGCGGTTCCGATCGCCGCTGATCTCTCTAAAAAGTGACCGGTGTGACGCAGGCGCAGAAATAAGTGTTTAATCCTGAGGTTGTGTGCTTAGACGAAAATACAAATATGTTCGGGGTTCAACAGGAGGAAGGTTTTCAGTTCTAGTCAAAAAAGCTGAATTGAACAACTTCCCTTTTCTCCTGCGCATCAACGATGTGGGTGTGCTTTGAAGACGTGGACAGGGAAAAGACAGGTGTGTGCAGTCAATGCCCAGTCCGTGTCTTCAAAGCGCATCCACATCGTCGACATACAGAACCAACTGGCCCAATTAAGTTTGCTGACAAACTTGTCCTGCAATTTATGCTTTTTCTGTTTGTATAGGCACGACCACTACATTGAGTTAAAACGGAGCAAGGGGCTGTGCTCATCAGAAGGCCACGACGGATACTTGGCGCGGCGCCCGTTGGCCACGCGAGCCGTGTTACCTGCAGCAGTGGCCGCACCTGCGCCTGCCGTGTGCTACGTCGAACCTCTTCATGTAGCCGCTAGACGTTGCTCCAAACACATCCTAAGTAACACGCCAGAAATAATTGAGCAGCAAACTCAAACACATCACGAATACTCTGCCGGAACCATTGAAAAATCATTGCCGGAGGTGCCGCACCGGAAGTCTACTGGGGTAGGCCGTTCGGCGCAAGCCAGTTTGTTTACAAACACCGAAACCGTCTATAGCAAATTTTCTGCACATCAAAACCCGGGTATAAGATAATGATCTGAACACACATACCAGGAAAGACAAAAATGAAGGTGGCAGCAAGGGAGCCAATGGTACGGATGACAATGCTGATGTTAGGCACCAGACAGGCCAGGACAACTGTGGTGCAAAACCATATTGACACAATTGCTATCCGTCGAAACAGCTCCCGTTTGCGTTTAGCATCTTCATCAAGGCTCCGAAACTGCCCATAAAGGTCATCCACTGCTGTCCTATGAACAGTGCACAAGAGACTGATATTAGCCTAATATTTGAAGATCTCTCAATTGGCATTCGTGATGAAGCACACAATATTTATAAAAATAATGGAAGAAGAACTAATACTAAAACTGGTGTGTGCAGTTTTATATCCCAACACAAGATTTAACATCCCAGAGTCGTATTGAAAACATACAGGATGGCTACAGGAGATCGTGCATTGGAGAGGTTTAAATCGCCTTGCCCCCTGAAGTTGGAGAGTGAGCACCTCCATTTATGTATATTTGCGTACAATATAAGTTGCAAGACACTGTCTGTACTCAAAATGGCATCAACACTGCAATGAGGCACCTACATAGAAAGGAGGTGGTGAATAAAACTACCTCAATTAGCGGTACTTTCTGAACCAAGTTATTTGTCAGTTACACTGTTCAGGTTTGGGGTCACTTTAACAATATCCAGCATGTCGCAACTCATATTGATTGCAACTGCACATCTATGCCCTTTTTCATTTCCCATCCCCTATTGAAATGTGGCCAGTGTAACTGGGCACTGGACACGCAACCTTGTAGCTTGCAGTGGAAACTGTAGCCACTAAAGCAGGTCATCTACAGCTTTTTCAAATGCTTTATCTTATACTTGCACTACTTGTAAAAGAGAATGACTTACTCTGCAAATTTCACTGCAAGAAAAGGTTGTGGTAAAGGCCACATAAAGTTTGAACCAATCAGCAGTAAGAGTAGTCGATGACAGCAGCAACGACAGCATCTGGGTTTTCTATGTCTCAAAACCATGATATGACAATGAGGGACACTGTAGTGGAGGGCCCCACAAATTTCAACCCTCTGGTGTTCTGATACATGCATCGACATCTCGCAGTATGTAGGCCTCTACCATTTCGCTTAAATAGCAATACGATTGTCGCGACCAGCAATGAAGCTGCAACCTTTGGGACAGAAGTCGAACACAGTAACCACCGATCTATCATAACAGACAACGGTGGTTGAATTTTTATAAAACAAGGGAACAGAATGCTGAAATGAGTTTCCATAAACAAAGTTTCACCTACTAGCAAAAATAAAAATTACAGCAGGCCTCGTCAGCTATACTCAGTGAATTGTGCAATCTCTGAATATCAAAAATATATTATTTAAAAGCTGCCATTTTTGAAAAAACTTCATAAATAAAGAAAATTCAAAGAGAAATATTTCTTCAGCAGTTCATTTTACAAAGTAATACTGTGCAGAAATACCGTATTTTTGCCTGTATAACCCGCACCAAAAAACCAAAAAATTTCAGTGGCAAAGTGGACGTGCTGATAATACGCAGGGTTTTTCCTATAGTGCTGCTTCACAGCAATGCGTGTTGTGCTGTGAAGCCCCTTAACAGTGTAGCGAAGGCTACAGACGCAGTTTCCGCAAATTCGTGTTGCTCCGCAAGTAGCACAACAGCTTGCAGCTGATTTTGGTTTCGCTTGCTTGCATCGTTGAAGCGTTTAGAAAAACATTTGGGGAGAGACAATTCGATCGTTCAGTGTAAAATCTCACTGTCACACCACAAGTATATTTTTTGGACATTTGTGGCCGCTCAGTTACCCTCCACATGTCCCTACGTCACGGACGCCATGTTGACTTTTGGAAAGGGCTTGCCGAAAAGGTGGTGCTGTCTAAGAAAGTTCCATAATAAAGTAAGTGCCATAATAAATAAATCGATATTTATTTCAGCAAGGCAAATGAGATGTTATAGTGCCTATAGATATATTATCAGTAAATTAATGTACTGCTTTTTAACGCGGTAGCAGGCATGCATTTCGGTTCTGTTTCCAGGGTGCTGTTACTGTGTACTAGAAGGGGTAGTGCTGCCAAGTTGTCGCCGAGTGTGAGCGCTCTTTACCTCGCCGATACCGCTAGTTCTCTACATCGACCCGTTCGCCAAGCCTAAGTCGATCTGTTCTGTCACCATGAGTAGCGTATGGCGGCAGGCCTTCACGGCACAGCAAAAGCTTAAGATCATTGCCGTCGCCGAGAAATTTGGAAATTGCGAAGCGGGAAGACGGCACGATGTGGACGAGTCCTGCGTGCGACTGTGGAGAAAGAAGAAAGAGAGCCTACAAGCCGCGCACCGCGACCGTAGGTCATTTCGTGGCCCCAAGAGCAGTGCCTACCCTGAGCTGGAGGCGGAGCTAGTAAAGTACATCGAAGATGTGAGAAGCAGGGATCACGACGTATCGACCGAGATGGCCCAAGTGGAAGCGCGGCAACTTTCGAGGGAGCTAGGCCTACCTCACGAGTTCCGTGCGAGCCGCGGATGGCTGCACCGCTTTATGAAGCGGCAAGGGCTCTCAATCAGACGGCGGACTGCAATATGTCAACGCTTGCCGGCTTCTTATGAGGAGAAGCTGCTCAAGTACCAGAGATATGTAATTGGCCTGCGAAAGCAGCACAATTACATTTTCTCACAAATCGGCAATGCGGATGAAACTCCTGTTTATTTTGAAATGCCGTTGGACACAACGATTGAGAAGACGGGCAGCAGTTCGGTGAGCGTGCTGACTGGCGGGAACACGAAACTGCGCATCACAGTCTTGCTTTGTGCCCTCGCCGACAGCACGCAACTGCGACCGTTTGTCATCTTGAAAAGGAAAACTCTACCAAAGGTTCATTTGCCTGCCAGTGTGGTGGTGCGCGCACACGAGAACGCGTGGATGAACAGTGACTTGTTCGTAGACTGGATCAAGACTGTATGGGAGAAGAGGCCCGGTGCGATGCTCGCAAAGAGGTCCATGCTCGTTCTTGACTCGTTCCGCGGCCACACAACTGAGGAAGTGAAGGACCGCCTTTCATGCAACGGCACCAACTTAGTTGTTATACCCGGTGGAATGACGTCAATGTTGCAGCCTCTAGATGTGTCGCTTAACAAGCCCTTCAAAGTGCATTTCAAGTGCTATTACGCCGAGTGGATGGCCGAAGGCTGCTACGACTTGACGCCGACAGGACGAGTCCGAAGGCCCGATATTGCCCTATTCTGCAAGTGGATTGTCAAGGCATGGGAGGCCATTTCAAGTGAGATGGTGCGAAAAAGTTTCAAGAAATGCTGCATCACAAACAACATGGATGGAACCGAAGATGACCTTGTGCATAATAGTGAGGACTGCGGCTCAAATGATAGCTCTAGCGAGAGCAGCGACAGTGAGTGAATTGTGACTGGCCTTGCAGACAGCGTATTCTGCTTGCTAAATAAAGCTTTTTCTGTCTACATATGTGCTATGTTGCTTGAGCAGTAGCTTTCGTACAGCCTTTCCTGTATATCAAATGTGCGGGGAATACGCGAGGATTTTTTTTTTTCGTTCTCGGTGAGCTGAAAGTGAGGGTGCAGATTATATGCAGGGGCAGGTTATACGCGCAAAAATACGGACGGTATCACAAACATGGGAGACTAGTCTTATGTCAATGTAAAATACTTCTCAAATCTTCCAATTCATTTTCTTACTCCTGGGTTCAAAATGTCAACCATGCTGAAATTTTAAAATTCCACGAATCTGATTGTACGATTGCTTGCATAACAAAAAACTTCATTATATCAGGAGGAAGTTTGGTAACAATGCTTGATGCTGTTTCTCTTCAGCAAACATACTGAAAAATAAGGACACTTTCACAGAAGTGCATGAATATCAAAATTGTGTTTGGATATCTAATTAAGATATTGTAAACATTATAGTGAAATTAAAAATTAGAACAATTGAAAGGTCAGTAATACCCATAGTGAAAATTAATTCCACATTGAATCAAGATGAATGATAATATCATGACATTTTATTACAACATTAAGTGTGTAATTAGGCCCCTACAGTAATGCCCAATTTTACCACTATAAATTTATAACAAACAAGCAAATAAACTAAATATGAAAGGCAAGACTTTCTTCTTGAACCCATCACAGCAATGAAATGTGACTGCCACTCACTACTTTCATACCAGAATGTGCCGAAAGCATGTCAGTCAACGTAACTGTCAGTCTTATTTAGTATTCACGTGTGTCGCCATCTTGGGCTTCTAAATGAGTTATTTTTGTGCTTTGTATGTAGAGAGGTGAAATTAACATGCACCGAAATGCAAAATGCATCCTTACTCAAGTTTTCATGTGCATTTGTGTAATGCAGTACCTTTAATTTAGTAGTTACAGATGAAAACAGCAATATTAATTACCTAAAATCCATTTTTTTTACTTTGGGTGAGTGTGTACACATAATGCTAATAAAAATACCCCTTTATTGAGGAAAGCAGATAGTCTCTCAAACTTTGTTCCACACAACAAGAATTTACATGCATAATCAGAAGGCATGACAGTTATGCCTGTATTGCCATTCGTTGTAGAAATAAAATTGCAATGTATGCCTAAAAAAACTGCATCAATGTAGCGGAAATATCCAAGCAATAATAAACTTTCGCGACAGATTGGCACAGACAAGACAGGCTTCCTGAAAAGTTATGTGCATGCACACGTTTCACTTCATGAGAGTTCATGCTTTTATTAGCTATTAATTTTTTTAATTTTAACAGTTTTAATTGAAATGACTATCACATTTTACTATTATAAATAAATTTTCTGGTAATAACTTCTATCGATCATTAGCAATAAATCAATATGCCACACACACAGAAGAAAAACAAAGTGCCAAGTTCAAACAACTGCACGATGTATAGCATTTTGACAAAATACAGAAAAAATGAGGCCAACCTGCCACAGAAGATAAGGATGGGGTATGTAGTGATGATCTTGAGTGCCATGGCCAAGATTCCAACCAATACTAGTGGCTGACGGGCATCGTAAAGCTCCAGTATATCACCAGCCACTCCCTCACCAAATGTCAGGTAGCCAAACACCCCTGCCACAGTGTATAGCAAGGCAGTCAAAACGGTGGCACTCACGACTGCCTTGGCAAATGTAGATAGTCTCCGGTCTTCAAGGCATGAATAGATAGGCACAGAACTCACATGGCACTGTGGAAAATAGAAATGGGGGAGGACAACATGGTACCAACGTAGTGACAAAATGGAACTTCTTACACGGCCTTAATAAACCAGTTTGTAACATCAATTATAGTAACACATGCCAAGATTTTGGACTTTTAACCAACATAAAAATGTCGTGAATCCTAAATGTGCACTCTTGAATACATGTGATCAATGAATGCAGACACCCATTTCGAAACTCTTATGAAGTTCCCAAGTTTGCAGCGACATCTTTAAAGCAGTTACAAACCAGTCTTGGGTAAAAGGTAAAACAACTAAAGATATTAGAAGGATCTCTTGAAGAGCGATCCTGAGTATGGTTGAAAAGAGCACATGCAGACTGGTCAGAGTTACAATATCGTGTGACATTGTGTTATGTCTGCTTAGAGTTCAGTCAGCGATTAATGTTTTGCACGGTATATTGCAATCGTGGTATCTTGTATCTTAAGATAAAATGATGCCTTATCGACTGTAGCGGAAATACAGACACCAATACTCGTGTTGCGGTACAGAAACAAAATACACAAAGGGTATCTAAGATGCATGGATATTCGATACTGCCCAGTCCTGCCTAGCAGTACTATGTGAACTCAAACCGATTAGACTCGACGACCAATGACTGTCCTTGGTGTTGTTATTAAGGGGAGATGCGAGTCGAAAAACGTGTTGTTTCCAAATTACATTTTTTTCGTTTTTATATGTTTCCACCAGTTTAGTTCGTCTACTTTCCCCCCCAAAAAAAACAAGATTTTTATACTCGAAGTATCTTAAGATCACTTTTAAAGAACACAAGGTAGCTACTGAAAACTAAAAAGAGCTCATTATTTAGAGTGCTCTAGAAATTGTCACCTGACTGCTTGCCAATGCATTTCGCATGAGGAGTTCACTAAAGATACACACTCAAAATAACCATGATTGCCAAGCTCTTATGATGAAAGAAATCATCTTAAAGGGGCCCCGCAACACTTTTTGAGCATGGTCAGAAAACAATGTCGATCGGTAGTAGAGGCTCCAGAGAACACGCAAGCCAAATATTATAGCGCAGCACGCGGCCTGGAATTCACAATAAATTATCAGTCAACTAAAATTTTTCTTTTCTCGCGAGAAATGAAGAAGGATGCTCAAAAATCCCACATAGAAGGCCATCTATCAGCCATTGGCCGATTTTAACATAGTGTGCTCGGTCGTTACTGGGATCGCCGTAAAAGGCTGCTACTTGTCCACTCAAGCGCGCGCGATCACACAGAAAAATCCGCGTATTTGAAGAAAAAAGAAAAACTGCTCAAGAAACTCGCATTTTCTTTACCACTGCCATCCTTCCGTGCTTAGCCTCCAGCGCTTTCGCCGGGTCGAGAAAAGAAAGAACACGATTAAAGTGTGCAACAATCCTTTGCAACTGCACTTGTACTGGACGGATTCCTAAAATTTTTGCATCATTTAATTCGCGAGGCAATAAGCTCTTTTAGCGAATCCATTCCATGGTTACTTGAACAAGTGTATCAGGGTCCCTTTCAGGAGGGACATAGCAATGAAAACTACTTTTAAGTGATGAAATTTAGAATGCAGATGTGATTTGTTATGCTGATATCATGTCTAGAATCAGTTCATGTTTAGAACCAGTATCATGTCTAGAATCAGTCAAAATTTTTGCACAGAGATGTGCACATGGGCCCACTTTGTGCGTAATGCTATTTGTTTAATTTGAATACTCAAATAGGCCCACAATTTTTTTAAGTGTCCTGTACACATTGTTTTAATAACTTTTACAAAAAGACAATTTTAAAGATTTATATGATGTGCACACAAATATGGCACTCACAAAAATCTTGGCATCTAAGTCCAGAAAACGAAATGGTTATATCATCATTTGTTGTGAAATGGCACACGATGATTGACGGAAACTGCTCAAAAAATAAAATTTGAGAAAATGGAGCTTGAAGAAAATGAAGCTAGAAGCTAAGAAAACAGAACTTAGAAGGAAGCTGGCTTTGCTTTTCATTGTATAAATGCAGCTCTGAGACTATCTTGAGCTCCAATCTGTCCCCCTTACGATGCCGCAAATAAGGGGAGCACTGTGCCAAGGGAAAGCCACAGATTTGCAATTTCTAAAGCCCAATTTTCCCATAGGTGATGATGATAGCACCGTAATTAGATGTATTTTTCCTAAGTTTTACCACTTTTATTGAATCACCGTTATGTAAAACAGGGTCTCAGGATTGCAGAAAAAATAAAATTGAAATAGTCGAGCATTTATACCAAATTTACAATTCCCAGGGGCACAACAGCTGAAATAAAATTTGGAGCGATTTCGGAGAAGCAAAATATTACTTTTGAAGCACTAAGATTCAAATTTGTAGTGGGTTACAGGGGATAGAATTAAATCTTTTTATTACGAAAGACCAAGTTTGGAACAGCATCAAAAAGAAGGTGTGATGACGTGGTACGTGGAGCAGAAACTGAAGCCAAAAGTGTCGTGCGGTGGCACAGTGAGTTTCTGAGTGTGCGTATGTGCCATGTGGTGGTGAGGAAGATGACACCGACAGCTCGTGAAGCTCAGCCTCGCGAGCGGGAGACCCATGTTTTCGGCGGTGCTGGACGGTCGGGTTCAAGATCAACCAGTATTCGCGGTCAAGCAGGAGCCTGGCTGGGTAACTGACCCATGGATGAGGTTTTGTGTGGTTGGTCCGGCGGGTGTTCCTTGAGCTGAGCAACTGGCCCAGGGAGCAAGCAAGGCCCGCTGTTCGCGCCGCTGTCCACAGCGGTGGATTTAGTCCTGGTGGATTTAGACGAACGAGGCCAACCGACGTCGACGAGCTGACATTCCTGCTGGCCAACTGAACTGGCCCGGGAGCAGGCGACAACCTGGCACGACATAAGGGTGCTGCCGGGATGAGACGAAGTGGCTAAGTGCTGCAGCTGCTAGCGCAGAGGGCAGAATCAAGGAGAGGACCGACCCAAGTCGAAGATAACGAGTGAGAGCTAGGCGGCGCACAGTCCTCAACAGACTAGCGTCCACGTCACTGACATGGCGAGAGAACTTTTCGCGCAAGGGGGGACGCGGGTTCGGGATCGCAAAAATGGCCAAAAAAATCGATATTTTGAAAATCAAGTTTTCAGTTTCTGGAACCCTTTTTCTATCTGATTCCAAAATATCCACACTGAAAACTGCGCAGAAGTGCTTCGAAAAATTTGTTTCACCCTTCTAGGTAGCGAAACTTTTTCTGGAAATCGCAAGAAAGCAGCGAATTTCAAAAAATTATAGCTTCGTGATGGCGCCACCGGGAGCCAGCTTCTTGGGCTCATCGAAAAGAGCATTTTTCAGTGTTCCAATTTCCCGCCTCAGCTGGCTCCTCTCTTTAAAACAAGCGCACAAAAAGCAAATCTTTGAAGGTCCTTTCGAGGCCCCTAATTGGCCGTGGCCGCCATGTTGCCTCAGCTCGCCTCGCCATTGGCCCGATGCTCGCTGCGGGAGATCGTTGTCTGCTGCTTGTGCGTCGCAAGGACAGGGCTCTTGAAAATCGCTACTTTGTGACGTGTTCACGGCTAGACGATCACTTACGATATAATTATGCTTCAGTTAGACAAAAGCTCTAATCGAGTGATGTCTCGTCCTCGGACTCCTGCGATCGTTTCCATCTTTCCTATCTTCTCTTTACTTCTGTCACTCGCTGCCCCTGCGCCTAACTCTCTCCTTCCTCTCTCTATATATACCTTTTAAGCCTATACTTTTAATCCCTGCTTACCCCCATCCCCTGTGAGCTACAGTTGAGGTGTCGTACCTGATGCAGACAGTTACGAGCTCACTTTTCTCTTGTTTTCCCTTTAAGAACCACATAAGAAGATATAAGCGTATGCACGGTCAGATTACTATGAGCGTGGTCTACAAGTGCGCCGTGTCATCGGAGTCGTCTTTAGGCCTAACTCCGCTGACGGCAGCGAGACTGCGGGCAAAAACGAAGCCTTAGCACATTCATGGTGACGTGCTTCTTAGCAAGCAACAAAGCACATCACTCGCTAGCTCTTCGGAACCGTGGATGGGCATTTTACGCATCGGCAACAAACCTCTCAATCAAACTCGCCACGCACAAATAAATACACACACACACACCCACAACACACACACACACCACTGCCAAGGATTGCTCAGAACAGCGGCTAGCAGTTTTGCACGTCAACACTCGAAAATTCGATAACAAGCACAGCGCGCATCTATTTTTTGTCATGATAGCTACACATTTCACGCATTATCGCTGAACGCCGCCGCCAAGTGCATCACGCATCAGCTGCAATGTCCACGTGGCCACACACTTCACGGTCATATGTAGTGCTGTCAATAAGCTTTTGTGATGCGATTCAGACGTGCTTGGAGCCGTGCTTGCTATCGCCACGAGCGTCTATGAATGTTCCGAGACAATAAAAGCCTCGTGAATTAGCGTTTCTGCGACTGGCCGTATGATGATGCGTTTCACAGGTAGAGTGGCAAAAGAGCATGTATTAAGCAGGGGCACAAATTTTCAAATGCCCGTTTCGCGTCATTAAATAAACTGCTAAAAAATTCCTGTGCCACCAGTCTCCCACCCATAACTTGGTTGTTTGCAAAAAAGGCATAGGCTGTCATGGTGTGAGCCATTTTTCTAATGCAATAAGCCTCTTCCTATATAAAAAATGGTCAGTGATTATTTGTAATCAAGTACTAAGTTACACTAATGACAGCTTGAACACAAGAAAGATGTGTAATCATTTCAGTATATGGTTTTATTCAATTACAATCTTTTCTGTCATGCACATAACATCACTCCTTCGTACAAAAACTTGGTTTTAAATCCATACTTGTTAAAAAAAAAAGCAACAAAGGCACACTGGGCAGAGGCCACATGCCTGAGAAGTCAAATACCACAAGACAAACCTGAGATCACAATTTTTAGGCGTTTTAGTCACGTAAAAAGAAGTTGAAACTTTAAACGCAGTTTTCCCAATGTACTGCCTTT